TGACATATTTTTATATACTACTACATTAATATCACACACACACACACACACACGCACACGCACACACAGGATAAGGCAAAAGTAGCGGAATCGCTGAATATTTCAGAAAATATAAGTTTTACAGAAAAGTGTTTCAGACAAAAGTAGGGTAGTTTAAAAAATTTTTGTTCTGATCTTATATTAATCTTGGATAGCGTCGCCAAGATTAGGTCAAAATTAAGGGGATGCTGGAGCCGCCTATATTACCGATAGCGTTTTTAACGTTTTTGTTCCTGTCGAATTTTTTCGTAGTGATTTCACAGAATAAAAATTCCTTTTCCACGATTAAAATGTGCATGCTAATGTACTTGTCGTTGGTGTGTTTTGTGTTCAAAGCTGGAGAAAATAAAAAAAAACTGCAGTAATACAGGCGGCTCCACCGTCTTCGTAAATCGATTATTTAAACTAGAAATCCCCATTTTTTTCATTGCACATTCTTGTAGCTTATCTCGAGGGCTTTTCAAAACACTATAACACTACAAACATTATATTTAGCAGTAATTTATAATATTATGAAATATTAAACATTTTTATTTTCTATGAAGAAAAATATCTAAAATTGTTGCAGGATCATTTTATTTTCATTTGGAGCTGGCGGAGCAAAATGTTAAATGTGTCACGGCAAGTAAAAAACATTAAGAAATTAGGTCGCGTATGTATCAACAGATTTTGTCACTGTGTTCCTAACAGAAAGAACTTGACAAATTCCAAAATTATGATTAAAACCCACATGCTACCATCGTACGCACACGCACACTACTACATAAATGCTACAGAATATAGTCCCTCACCTAATACATCTTAGAACATCGTCCCTCAACTCATACAATTATAACCACGAGTACAATCATGATTGTCGCACGAGTTGAAAGCTTATCTAAATATATAGAGGGATTAGGAAGTGGTAAGGAGTTACTTAATTTTGCAGGCGATTAAGCACACAATTCAGTCGTAAAGCCATTGAACAACGAATTCGTACGTTGTCTATAAATCGAATTAACACCTGTAATAAACTACGAGAAGACACAACGATGCTACTTATTTATTATTACGCTCTAGCATGATCGCATGAACTTACCGTAGCATCCCGCGAATGCTGGGACACGAGGCGATGAATGATGACTGAAGACTCGCTTAGCAATACCTACTTGTCGAGTTCACTTACGTTGGAATATCGTCTAATAACTTTTTTCTAAACGACTTAAGCGAATCTCCAATGTAAAGTCGAATGAATCTAAATTTGTAGTGAATTAAATTAAATATGGGAGACACGAGCTATATTCTTTTTACACAAAAGACGATCTCATTACTTTTAATTTGCAATTATTAATTGTTCAAGTTTTATCAACTGTGCATTACCTTTTGACGCACGTCACAACATTTAAAGCATAAATAGCACATGCGGTATTGATACCTCTCTGTAGATTTCTATTTCTGCGCACTCAGAGAAAAAAGAAATGTAAGTGACAAGTTAGTATACAAGTTTTACCTGTAGAATTAACGTATACATATTTGAATAAACTACTTTATAATTATTCCAACTAAAATTGAATAAAGTTACGTAAATTAATAAGTTTTTGCGCGTAATTGGTTCAACTGTATAATTATTATAATTCTACACATATAAAACTTGCACAGTTACAACTTAATTGCTATTATTATAAAAAAAATATTCTGTTCTCTCTGAGCGCGCGATCACTAAATGTATTTCTCTGTGACGAGCGATGGTATGCCGCAATTAAACAACGCGAAAGATACGTAACGGTACGCCACGCTCGTAATTCTGTAGCGT